GTATAAATGGGGGTTATTACCTATTTTTCAGGCACACAGTTCAAATCTGTACCACAACCAAGTAAATGTGTTGCCTTCAGCTGTTATGAAAATGCTGTATACTGTATATCAAAAATAATAAAACGATTGAAATTGTCCTCTGTCTCTTTAAGAACCTCCTACCATTTCAGACACTCCCACTTCAGCACATCTTCACAACAATAATTTGTGGGGGAGGAGCTTTGCTGCAGACTGAGCTCCAGGGAGGAGCTTTGTGTAAATGTGCGGAGCTTTGTACCAGCAAGCATTTAGGTAGCTCTACAGGGCCACAGGAGAGTCAAGGATTTCTCAAACATGCATGAATGAGTCAAAGCAACACTCTGGGTAMGTTTACTATGGGAATGACATTGTAACACGATATAAAGCTCAAAAAATGTTGATTTTGCATAATTTCTTCCCTTTAATCTGTAAGAACCTTTACTTACTAACGTGATGTAATTTGCACTGCTACTCCATAGCTCTAATTACTAGTTAGTTTATTTTGTTTTCGTTCTCATATTCATTGCACCTTGACCTTGTATTTCTATAAACTTCATATTTTATTTACTTCTTTGAATTTTTTATTTTTTTTTTTATTCCTTGTTTTTATTTCAAGTTCTGCACCTCAACAACAAGTCAAATTCCTTGTATGTAAAAAATATTTGGCCAGTAAATTGTATTTTGACTCTTTCATACAAATCTTACCCTRTATACACAAAACGATCTAAAATGAGCAGTGTGTGAACATTTAAATCCAGCCCATAAACCAACAGCTTGTAGAAGGTGTTTTGGTCCATATTGCGTTACCTAAAATACTGTCTCCTCCGGGGTGATTGGTGGCTAGTTTGCAGAGCTGCAGCAGACTCAGGACCAGCTTCACCAGCACACTGTCAGTAGGGTTAGCTACAGAGGACAAAAAGAGAAAAGATCAATAAAAGTCTGCTGCATGCAGATTTGTATTCATGCAAAGACTGTTTTTTTGTGCATCAGACCATGACATTCTCTGAGCAGCTCCTGGATCTGTCCTTTGTTGTGATGCAGCTGTCTCGTCAGCTCCTTTAACCCTTCAAGTCTGGTCAGTGGTAAGGAGTCACAGGGTGACGCTGACAGGAAGTGAGTTATCTCCTGTATGAAAAAACAAAACATAGGTTCAGTTTAAATCAATGGGAATTCACTATCAGGATCTCTTCTTTACACAAGCCAACACTTTGGAAATAAACACAGACGATAAAACAGTGAAGGCTTTCTGTTAGCCTGTGTGTCTGTTGGGTCACCTGTCTCAGCTTGAAGCTGCCGCTGCTGTATTTGAGTCTGTGCTGCACCGAGCGCAGCTCTCTGAATTCAGGAAYATCAGGAAAAGGCTCCAACCTGCTGATGGCTCCTTTTAACTTTTGTTGATTCTCAATTATAAGAAACTGCAGTAGATTCAGCACCTCGAGGCAAAAAAATTTGAGAATGCAAAGTTTACTTTCAGTTTTAACTTTTGTGGCTCTACAAATTATCAGTGTATTCACATCATGATGTCTTCTTAATTAGAAAACGTGCAAAGCTTTGTTCTCTGTGCACAAAACCTTAAGTTCCAATGATAATTCTGACTTTAAAAGCACAAGCCAAAACAAACAGGGCTTCTAACTTCAGCTTTGGGTGAGGGTTTTCAGCCATATCCAAGTTTATTTTGTGTCCATTAAGACAGGTTTTTGTAATACTTGAAAGTGATCTTAAACAGTTTCTCTCTGGAATATCTGAAAGCTTTTGAATCAGACTGAATGCTTTTTCAATCATTTCCTAAACTGGCTCCTRAGCATTACAGTAATGGATGGATGGTATAATTTGTCTAAACTTTTAGAAGATATCAGTAAATGCTTTTTATACTAGTTAACAACAGTATGGATTAGGGCTGGGTAAAAAAACCTGATTTAATCGATCTTGGATTGATTTCATTTAAATTTGGGAAAATCGATTCACAGGACATGAGATCTATTGTTCCCCATGGTGTCTTGTGTACGCGTCTGAGGCACATTTCTATATTTTGTCACTCCTCGCTTGTCGTATATTTACATCCGGTTGATGTTCAGTGCTAACATTAGCTTTCGATAACAAGTTGTCTGGATCAAAACAAAAGAAACTAAGGAATCACCAACGTTACAGCCGAGTCTCCGCAGAAATTAAAGACAACAGAGACCATGGTGACTTTTGTTTTCAAAGATTTGAGCTCCTACGTGGTAAAGGAAACGAAGCGGGTTTGACGAGCGGCTCGTTAGGCGCTCGAACCAAACTACGRTATGTAAACATCTGACTGAACTGTTCTCCACCGGCATGTTTAAACGTGTTAAAGATGACATTCTAACAAATCGTTTAGTTTTGCTACCAATATTATTATTTTTAAACTTTAAGAAACGTCTTAATGAAATCCACAGTGATGAAATTTTGTAGTTGTATTGTTTTAATAAGTTATATGTATTAAGTTTTAATAATTTTTATTGAACATATCAACAGAAGGTAACAGAAACATTACAAATATACAGTTTTCATATGCTCAAAAGGAGTGGGCAGAAGTATATTTATATTAGCCCAAGTCTTCTCCTACAACATTATTCCCATCACTTCTTATTTATCAAGATAATTATTAATTACATAAAAATGAATGCATCAAACATTGTCACCTGCAATTCCTTTTTACTTTAAAACTTTTTATACTTGTGACAGATTTCTTTCAAGATTAAACAGTTTAATTTAAAAGTTTGTCCTTAAAACCTGTTGTTTATGTTGAAGAGGAAAAAAAGGTATCAATAAACATTTTCATTGAATTGAATCGTGATTAATCGATTCAGAACTTTATGAAACGAAATCAAACTGATCTAGAGAATTGGCCATAATACCCAGCCCTAGTACTGATACTAATTATAACACATTTGACCTCAAGAGTACCGTAATCATGGGAAAACGTGTTCCATCAGTTCTTTGTACAATAAACACCAGCTCTTTCACTCACCTGTTGTGAGACAGATGACTGATTGGTCACCTGAAAGGTCAGAGTTCCCACAATGACCTGCAGGTGGCAGTCAAGAGCATCGTCGCAAAACTGCAGCGCCACCTGACACACMGAGGTGAGCAGGTCGCAGCACAGAGAGAGGCTCCGGTTAGAAACCTCGTCACAATGAAGCGATCTGCGAGAGGATCAGAAAACTGTTGTGAGGGTTTCCTGGGGGAGATTTGGAATTTCCCGGCATTCGTTCACCAACCTGCTGTTAACGTGGTGAATGAGGGTGTAGATGATGTCTCTGAGGACGAAGGCCCAGGCTCCTCCCAGACCGTCCTTCACCTCCCTGAGCAGCAGGCTGACGAACAGGTGGTACATGAGGAGGACGCGGTGACGTTCGTAGCCGTTGATCGTCTCCGCCACCTTTTCACACACAGCCAGCAGAATCTTCTGGATGGAAATCTGAAGTCCAGAAAGTGAAAACGAAAGGTTTAACAGAAGCAGAGAAATTGAAAACAAAACGGTGAGGCAGTACGTTCATGAGACACTGTACCGGGGTTTTTGACAGAATGGCTACCAGTGACTTGTGGTTGGCACTGTGACACTTGCTGAGGTAGTCAAGTGTAGCTTTAATGACATGTGAGCTGAAGTGTGGTGGATTAGGTGCAGGATCCAACTCTCTGCAAGACAAAAAACACTTATTAAAGGGGTGGTCTTACGTATTTTCCAGGCACATAGTTCAGTTCTATACCACAATCAAGTAACTATGTTACTTTTAATGATTCCACCTCCTACAAGGTGGCTTCTCTGATGGACTGTGTCGCAGAGGTAAAGAACTGGCTGACAGAAAACTTGCTGCTGCTTAATTTGGCAAGACAGAGGTTCTAATTCTGGCCCCTGAAAAGAAGATCCCTAAAGTTAAGGAGCRGTTGGGCTCTCTGTGTTCAGCTGTCCATCAGAGTCTTCGCAATCTGGGAGTTATATGTGACTCGGACCTGTCCCTGGAAAAACATGTCAAAAATTTAGTGTCTACATGCTTCTTCCAGCTACATAACATTTCTGAACTTTGGTCTACGCTGTCTGCCTCAGATTTGGAAATGGTCATTCATGCTTTCATTTCAAGCCGCCTGGATTATTRTAACARCCTGTTTATGTGCTTRAACCAAAAGCAGCTCAGTCGTCTTCAACTTCTCCAGAATTCTGCAGCTAGACYTTTAACTCGAACATCTAAATCTAGTCACATTACTCCAATCCTTTCAGAACTTCATTGGCTACCTGTTTACTTTAGGATTTGGTTTAAAATCCTGGTTCTTACGTTTAGAGCCTTAAGAGGCCRGGAACCTGCCTATGTTAGGGACATGCTCTCTACATACAATCCAGTCTGCTGCCTGCGTTCTCAGGATCAAAATCTACTAGTTGTTCCTCGAACAAGCTATAGGACCATAGGCGACCGGGCTTTTTCTTTTACAGCCCCTMCMCTCTGGAATGCCCTTCCCTGCGYGTTACGTCCCATCAGTGATGCTGAATTATTCAAGAAGGGTTTAAAAACCTTTTATTTTAAACAAGCTTTCGGTTAGATGGTTTTTGTTAAATGTTGTTGAACCCAGTGCCTGAGTGGTAGCTAGGCTTGCCTTGCYTTGGTCTAAGTACTATTTACATTTTTTCTGTAAATGTTTATGTTTTTGKGTTGGTATTTTATTTTTATTGTTGTCTTTTTTATTTTTTATTTATTCTTACTTGGCTCAATGTTGTTACTGAAACATTTTTGGGATGGAAATATTTGACGGCTCTATGATGTTTATTGTTGCATTGTTATAKTTTGTGTTTTGTACAGCACTTTGTGAAGTCAATTCTATCAAAAGTGCTCTATAAATAAAATTTTACTTACTATGTTACCTTCAGCTGTTATGAAAATTCTGTATTTACAGTATCAAATATAAAGCTGGACTCTTTAAGAACCTACTACTGTTTCTGACACTCCCACTTCAGCACGGCTTCATTACAATGCTTCAGTGAAGGGGTACTCTGTAGTGTGGGAGCTTGGCTACAGACTGAGCTCCAGGGAGGAGTTTTGTACCAATAGGCAGTGCTTTGTACCATAAAGTGCTCAGACAGCTCCACATGGCTAACAGAGGAGAGTCAAGGATTTCTCAAACATGCATGAATGAATCAAAGCAACACTCTGGATATGCTTTTCTTGAAAAATGACTTTACAACATGATATAAAGCTCAAAAAAGTAGAGTTAGTATAATAGTCCCCTTAAAAAAAGGAAATACATTAATTTTGTTGACATTACCCAATAAAGTGTTTCAGGTCTCCTTCTGCTTTGCCGTCTTCATACAGAGTCATCAGCAGCTCCACTACGATGTCTGCCAGGTTACTGTGGATCAGGCTGTCAATTTGCTGTAACAGGATGGTTAGAGGAAATGAACTGTAATTATATGAGAGGCCTCATAAAAGTCTTGCTTTTCACCTTCACTCATCTACTGCCAAAGTCTCTCACACTCACCTCGTTTACCCATCCACACATACATTCATACAGAACTGTTACATCTCCACAAAGATGATCTGAAACACAAATTATTCGATAGAGTCTAATCAGTGCTTTAGATCGTGTTCATGCACGGATGAGGCACACAGAGGGGATCATGGTCTACATCAGATGTCTGTTTTAAGCACTGATCCACTGCCACCCCAGAAATRCTATTTCCAAACAGCAGGAGAAGCTTTTCTTTGTTAAGACTTAACTGAGCCASTTCCTTACAATCCAGTGTACTGTTAGAGCTCCTAACCATTGTTGTGCTGTAGTTCAGGTTTCACTTGTCTGCCATGCATTGTAAGTGGTTGTGAGGAAAATGAATAAATGAAATGAAGAGAAATAAATCAAATGGAAGTGTAACCCTAGCAAGACTAGTCACCTTTTTACAAGGACAGAGATKAWATAAAATCCTTTAAACCAGGGGTTCTTAACCTTTTTGACCTCGAAGCCCAATTTRTTGAACATAAAGTGACACGAGGCCCAGTCACACATTACCAATGTATGGATCAAAATGATAATTATTCTAAATCTTGGTTTAATTTTTATTGTATTTGCATTATAACTAAACTATCATAACTAACATAACTAAATTAAATACTCTTACAGTTTAAAAGTAAAACTCCTGTCAAATAATCACAAGACATGATTATGACAAACATTTTTATATTGTAACCTGCCCATAACAATTATTTGAACAAATGCAAAGGTCAGTCAGACCACTCAGGCTTATCAGCTCAAATATATATATATTTTTAAAGGGGACCTGTTATGCAAAATTCACTTTTTAAAGGTTTTTTTTTACTCAACTTTGGGTATGTACTTCTTAAAAAAACAGTCCTACGACCAAAAAAAAAATGCACCCAGGGGCAAATTTACTGTAAGTAAATGTATTTTTAATGTATATTAATGACAAGTTTTATACTTCCWWCATTTTGTGATGTCACAAGCMGTACGACAACCCACCGCATCTTGCGTTCGGCCCCTTACCTAGCAAACCCCGGGTGAGGCTCCACCTCCTCAGTATAAAAAGCCATCACGGTTGTTGTTGTGCAATGCGCAGCTCATATCACAACAAGCCTCCAATAGGGCAATGGGTAGAGTGTTGGACCAGAGAGCGGGAGCACAGGGTTTGAGACCGACACAGATACAAACAATTTAATTATTTATTTTCGTTAGTTATGAACACGTTTTCTCATGTACCTCTATTGTTTAGTTTTAGCYTATTTGTTCGAGTTTCTGAGGTATTTTGACCGCTGCTGCTCCAATTACCTGCCCTGGTAACAGCATGCAGAGTGAGCGCAGAGCTCCGACAGGAAGAGGGGGAGAAAAAAAAGCTGCGACCACGACTCTGCCTCTGGGTCTGACTCAGGGTCTATATACGGTTGTACAACAGAGTTTCTGCTATTATTAGCCATGCTAACGTAAACGCTGGCTTTGGAGGGCGGAGTTAATGTCAACAGATTTTTGGAGGGCGTTACCAACAGAGCTCATTAACATAAACAGCTCTTCTGAAMGGAAGTCAGAGCAGGCAGAACTAGAAAACGGGAAATTTTATTATTTRAGAATTATTTTGTGCATTAAATTGAACGAACATGGTCTGGATAGCCCACAGCTGGAGCTGGAGACATCCTTATCAGAGGCCCAACTTCTTCCCATTTGTCCCCACATGGAGTTCCTATGTGAAAGAGGARTTTTAGCCCTGAGCGTACCGTGGGCTGCTTTTACCTGTTTACCCAAACAGCTGGCGTCTTTCAGGAGGTCGTACACTCTGTGGGCCTTCTCCCTCTGCTGAGCAACCTGGGAATCCTGACCAGGCAAAGCGAAGTACGGCAGGATGTTGACCATGATCTTGGGGAAGCAGTCGGCCAGTAAGAGCTTCCAGTCCTTCTCAAGGCTTCGGCCAATGGACTTCACCTGCTCAAAGTCATCCAGGAAGACTAGGTGGGGGATCAGAACCTGGTAGGAGGAGCTAAAAGGATGCAGAAAATTGTTTTCATTTTTCATGCAACTAGGAGAAAATCATGTATTTGGAGTAATTTTAGATTTATTTTCTTCCTCACTTATAGAAATCTTTGACTGTGTCATGGTCCAGCAGACTGTAGGGGAAAGAGCCGAGCGTGTAGCGGTCGTCAGATTGTCTTTGAGCAAGCCACTCGGCTACCAGGTAATACAGGTGAGAGCTGACAAATGTTTTTACACTCTTGTAGCCCAACACGTTGGAGACACTTAACAACATCTTCAATAAAAAGAAGCACAACAATCCTTAGTTTAGCATTTATTTTATCAGGAAAGGAGCAACTTGATGATTTTTCTTTGGATCAAACATAAAACATGTTTCCTCTAAAAATTTTAATTTTGACTATTTTTACAACTCTTAAGAGACCCRTCACCTTTTTGATGAGTTCTTCCTCTACGTTGTTCTCCTTGTAGGACTGTAGGAGAGCAAACAGGCACTGCTTTTCACACACCGGGCTGCAGCTCAGCACCACAGACAAACTCTTCAGCAGCGCGGCTTTACGATTGAATGCTTCGTCCCGCTGTTCCTCAGAAGATCTGCTTCTCTGTGTCCAATAATACAAGCGATACGTTAGACGGCACAGAACATGACGTAAGGTTAAAAGAATCATAAAACACGCCGTCCTTGATGATGCCGCGGGGCAACGTGGCATGATTTTACCAGGAGCCTCATCCCATCCTGAGCCTTCAGGTAAATGTTCTCAAAAGCTGCCTGCTGGAGTTTCAATGGCAGCATCTTTCTCTTATCGGACTGCGTCGGTCCCATCTCAAGAAACAGCCTGGATATGGGAAAAAGAAAAGGCTAAAATCAGATTTAAAATAAAATATTAGGTCTACGACAGAACTAAGCAGAACAATTGTTTTTTACGCAAAAATGTATGCGATAGCGTAAAATGAATGAAATAACTAAAACTCTAAGGGTTAAAATAAGAAGAACAAAAGGTAAAAAATGAGCTAACAGTAGATAAAAGCTATTATTACCAATACCATAACCAAAGCTAAAAAAAACAGTAGTTAAAACAAAAGGGCAAACACCACATTTAACAAAATATTAGCTAAAAGCTACAGTTAGCCACAAGCAAAAAATGGCAAAAACACAGCTAAAGGCTAAAATTAGAGAGACTGTAGCTAAAAGCTAAAAGGTGCAAAGGAAAACAATAATATGACAAGTTTGGTGAAACACATTTAATGGAAAAGGGCTTTTGAATGAGTCTAAAAAGATTTTATTKTACCATGTTTGTATAGAAAAAATGTTTGTAAATAAAGTTAAATAGTTCAAAAAGTATAAAAGCTACAGATAACAGAAGCCATAGAACTCACTCACACTAAATCATTTGTTGATCCTGTCAGGAGKTTTAACATCAGCATTTAGGATTTGAGTTGAGCATTAAGATTTTTTACCTGTAATATGCTTAATTCAGTCGCAGAACGTTCATTTTTTAATACTGAGGCTTCAAAAGGTTAAGTCTCAGAACAAGTGTAGCAGATTTAACTAAAAAGGCTGCTAAAAGGTTAAAAATACAAGCTCCKGCATCAAATTGAACACTTTGAGCTTCTGAAATCATGGCTTAAAGAATGAGGCAAAGATTGACTTGTTTGGTCACAATATGGGGAGTAAATATAAACCATTACATCCAAAAAGCTATTTCTTACTGTTTTGGCATGGCAGCAGCAATACCATGGCCTGGGACTGTTTGTCGGTGGTGGAAAAGGAGTGGATTCAAAAAAAAGTGACAAAAGCTATTAACAGCAAAAACCTACATCAGGATTCTTTTGCATGACCTCAAACCTTCAGTCATAGCTCAGTCTCAACTGGGTGTTTTTGCTAAAAACTATTATTTTGCAATCGTTCTTGTGATTTATAATAAAGCAGTAAATGTGKTTTTTTTTTCTAGTCAATATTTTTTTTAGTAAAGCCAGCAGGAAGTTGAACCTGCCTCTCCACTGATACGGCTACAAGCATGCGGACTTGGTGGTGGGCATCTGCGAGGTGTGACGGAAGAACAGAAGACACGGGACGGTCCGCCTCTGGGTCTCTGAAACTCAGGATCGCCCAGTTACAGCGGGGGTCAGCCTGAGCAGGGGGGGGACAAGCAAATCAGAAAAAGAGGGCATTGTTGAAATCAGTTTGGAGAGTTTGACCTAAATTGTTTCGTCAGATAAATTCTGCCRTTTTACAGACAAGTAATACTGAACTAATAGTAAAGTCTGTGAGAGTTTACCTCMAGCAAAGCAACCAAACACTGCACTAAAGCAGCTCGCACAGCTGACACACATTTCCCCGTCTGGATAAGATAGCTAAAAAAAAACAAAAAAAAACAAAGACAAAACGGTTAAGTCGGAGCCCTGAAAACTCTGGATGGAAAAAAAAAACACTTCATGCTTTCAGCACCAAACACTACGTACACTATGTAAACKTAGCACAAAAAGTAGGAAATTTATGTTTAGCAGATTATTTCTTTGTTGTGACAATGTAACTGGGGGCACCAGAAGCTCAAAACAAGTGTCAATAGCTACATTATAATAAGCGGTTTGACGGAGAAGATTTGGCAAATTCTTCATGTGCTCATCCCACAAATGCATGTTCCTTACAAATGTGGCACCATTTAAGAAGGGAAAATAAAAGGCTTTCCAACCATATTAGACCTATTTCCAAAAAGTATTGTTACARTAAATAAATAATCTATCTAACACAAATTTACTTACTTTTTCTGCTAAGTACTGTATATTTGTAAAACGTTTCTAACCAGAAGCCAGACAGGACTTGAAGAAGAGAGCCCTGTGCATGTTTCATGTCTTCATGCCGGTGAACCATTTTCCCCAGACTCTTTATGAAGGGTAACAAACTGAGCAGGACAGCAGCACAGATTTCCTGGTCCTGACGATACAAGGAACACAAGTCCCTGCAAACAAAGCAACAAATCAAAAAAAAAAAAAAGAACTTCCTGCGTTGGACTGTCAGGAACATAAACAAAACTTCCTGCTGGTTTGAAAACACGCGTGTTAAAAACGCTTCCTTACGCCAGAGGCTGCAGCAGCGCATCGAATTCCTCCGGGGACAGCGTGTCTTCAGCAGGAAGCTTCTTCAGCAGGACCAGATACTGCAAGACATCCAGACGGTTACGAGTCCTGCAGCTAAGGCCTCGTCAGCCTCCACCCCGGCTGCTACTCACCATGTTGAGGTGCAGGGCTTTGCTGAAGTCTATCTGCTCCAGCAGGAGCAGCAACCTGCGCCGCACCTCCTGGGGCTTAAACAGCAGACCGCGGACGGGCCGAGCAGAACCGCACTCGCACAGGAACTCCAACACGGCGAGGAGAGCCAGGTCCTGCTGGGTCATGTGATCCTCCGCCAGCAGGCTCTTTGCACCTGTCAGAGCACAGAACAAGGATCTGTTAGTAGAATCCTGGATGGATTTAAAGGGATCCATGATTAGTTGTAACATTAGACTTTATTTAATAAACATATATTTAAACTGTAAAATGAGGACTGTAAAAATAYTKTAGGATGTTCAGTTTTTATCATTTTTAAACTAAAAGTTWAAAAATATATTACACGGATGGGGCCATTTTATTTACACGCAAAGCATTCTGGGTAAATGATGACGTGGATAGGTCCTCGGTGCAAGGCTTATAGCGAGCTAATTCCACCCTGAAGGTTAATCTTGGACAATATTTGACGATTGTCTCTTTTAAATGAAACCAGAGAGYGTTGACAGAGAGGAGAAGGTAGAAATGACTCAGCCTGTAACTGAAAATATGGATGGAGGGCCTCAGTTTAGCTTGTTTGTTGTGCTAGCGCTGAGCTAATACATATAAGGCCATATAGCGTCGACGCTAGCGCAAAGGCTAACAGGCTAAGCTGAGGTTCTTCTTCCATCCAAGCTCTGTTGTCCTAATATTATATTTTTTAAAATTTACAAAACTAAACAGCCTACAGTATTTTTACAGTCTTTATTTTACAGTTACAATATATGTCTGTCAAACAAAGTCTAATGTTACAACTAAACGGGGATCCCTTTAATAAAAATCTATCAGTGGTCCAAGTATCTTACCCGGCCCACATGAGGCGTCAGGGTTGTCTCCCTTCTGTCTGTGGGTCCCGTTGGCGCTGCTGCAGGACTCCTCGCCATCAGACAGGTCCGAGTCGTTCCTAGTTTGCTGGTCGTCTTCCACATGTGTGTCATCATCCACAGTGCTGACTCTCCTGGAGACRCTGCTCAACTGAAGGAACAAAGAAGAGAAACTCAGGTGGATGGCTCCTGGTTCCTGAATTATTATTACTATTTTTTATTATTATTAAGCAAAAATTCAGATTTAGTTAAATGGAAGTTTGTGAAAAGTTATGAACAATTAGTCTGGTCATTCATAAAGTGATATTCTTTCAAATAGTTGTCATTAGTTAGTACCTCACATCGATCACATGGAGAAAAAGGCAGAAGTCTTCATCCARGCTAGGCTAATGGCTAGCTAAACAAGTGTCTGCATTCAGTCGTTTCTCTGACTTATAAAAAAGTTTCTCAAAAATGTTCCATGATTGTGAAAGAACGTTACATTAACTGATATATCTGCACTTTTTCATGACACTGTTTAGTTTGTTAATTTTACTTTTTACTGAACAACGTGTCACTACTCAAATGTGCCGATGTGCCGCGGCTGTGCGTCAGTCCAAAGGTTTATTCAGCTTCCAGCAAGGAAGAGAAAGAGCTGTTTTATACAAAAACAAGGGGCCCGCTTCGAGCAACCCACTGGCCTAGCATGGATGAAGACTTTTGCACTTTTTTCTATCCTCCGTGCTCTGAGACTCGTTATGGCGGATGAGTTACATCACTTTAAAAATGACCAGATTATTCCTTYAGAGAGGCTGATAACAGTGTCCGCAGCGGCACAGAAGAAAGGAGGGAGCAGGGATGGGAGAACGAGGAGGAGGAACATTTATTTCCTTACCACCTGCCGGCTCAGAGACTTCGATGAATTTGAAGCAAAGTTWAAAAAAAAAMYAAAAAAAAAACTGTAACATCTTCTCTATATTTTGTTTCCATGCAAAATGGGGGGAAACTCATGCAATTTGGGGACAATCCATACAACCTGACGTGTGTTTCTCCAAACTAMAACTTTTCTAAATCTCCAACAGGTAAGATAGTTGATGTTAACTTTTTTCAATAGAACCCCCACTTGAAAAGTTCTTCAAGAGCTCCTAAATCTAGTAAATCTTACCAGCAATTTGCAGATTTCTGCCAGTTCACCGAGGAGGCTGGCTGGAAGAGTCATTACAAACAAACCAGAGGAGGTGGAACAAACACGATCCTGCAGGAGCAGATCAAACCTCTTGAATCTGTTCAACTTGCCAGTGGTTGAGTTTTTGAATTTGCTTTAAAACATATAAGCATCTAAAATAGCTAACATCCTGGTTATTTTATTTTACCTTTGTTGTTTTGCTGGCGGACTGTGTGCAAAGCTTCATAACAGATCTGAGTGTGGACATGACGCCCTCCTCGGTCATCTTCACTTTAACACTGGACACAAACCCACCCAGGTCCTGGGCCAAGGCCTGGCAACGAAGAGCATCTCAGAATGTAGACATAACTTCATGGTAAAATTTAAACAAGCGTAGCAGGAGAGGAAGGATCAACAGGAGTTTGGGTGAGTGTGAGTGTCAACCTTGGCTTTGGTGAAGAGCGGAGAGCAGCCGGCCTCCTCCTCACTCAGGAACCCGGTGGAGACGTAACCTGCCAGGACCCCCGTCAGGTGGCTGCAGCAGCGCACCACACACTCTGCAGGGCTGGACTGGGACTGCAGAGGGTCGAGCGGAGACAAGTGTCAGGCTGTCACAGAGAGGTTTAACATARCGCACGCCAAACACGTGAACTTCTACTCACATCAGGAGAGTAGCATTTGAGCAGACTGTCAGCCACGGAGAGCAGGTGCTGCTCCAGATTGTTTCTGAGGGCCGGGACAGCAGCGAACTGATTGTCAGCCGACGACGTCTTCACCAACTCTCCGTCAGCTCCTCTGATCTCTGAAGGCAGTGAGTTGAAGATAAACTCCTGGTACAGACTCTCAATCGCATCCAGGTCGTCTTTGGTACCCGCTGATGCTTGTTCTTGAGAAAAAGAGCTTTGAACAAAGCAGCCGTTACAGACCAGAGTTATTCTGAGCGGATTATGAGTCAAGATGAGGACGTTTATCTTTGTTTTTGTTTACCATGTTGCTCCATCAGAACCCAGCAGAAACTTCAGCCCAGCTCGAGTGTCCTTTAGAGTCAGTGAGACCAAGATGTTTGCTATCAGATTGTGAGGAAAATCTCTGCAAATAACAAAATACATATAAACATATAATATACATACAAAATCAAAGAGAAAATAACCACATAACAAAAATAAACACTGCAAGAATTAAAGACCTAACTAGTCTTGAAGAATACGCATACTATTAGAAGGAAACACTGCATCAGAACAGAGTGAAGCACCATAGAGAAGAAACAACATGCCTAAATATGGCAAGCCATTTAACATAAAATAGGCTTCACCACACCTACATTCCAGTTATCTGAATTGGTTTTGGACTAGACATATTAGTTTATTAAGAGAGCTCTGATTATATTTTGACTATGCAAAATGCCTATTTGAGCTGGCTTTAGTTCCATTCTGACTCATATAATAATAATAATAATAATAATAATAAATTACTTCAGATTTTCCATTAATCTGTATGGAGGCTCCAATTCAAAATCTCTTAAAAGGTTTTTTGACTAGTCAAAAATACAGTTCTAGATATCTCTAAGTTAGTTTTGACAATTCATTTTTTGTTTTCAAAGTATCTCACTTTTAGTTCAGATTAGTCATAATTCTAATTAAAGAAAAATGTATTTTTTAGATAATGGATATAAAACTTGACTAGTGCAAATTAAATTGCAGATATCTGGAAAGCAAATAACGCGATGCTAACTAATAATAGCTAAATAACAAAATTACTAATAACTAATAACTAAGGCTTAATTTGCTATTCAGTGGTCTGCACTATCAGGTCAGTCCAACTCAAATTTTCCATGTTTTAACACGATTTATATCTCTGCAGCTCAACACTAATTATTAAACATAGACAACTTATTGTCGGTCGCCCAAAGTTCTGCAGGCAGMTGTTTGGACAGCTAAGTGGCAGCAGGGAGGTTTTATGCTCAATTTTTAAAATTCAGATATCGAAAAATCAAAATTTGACTCGTCAAAATTACGTTTGAGATATCTTGAATTTTAATTATGGATGTGTGACCGTTCAAATGATGAATCTGGTGACATCATTTGAGATATCTTGAAAGGCATCTGTAAAATGTAAATGAAGATATCTTGAATTGTTCTTCTGACTAATCAGAATGTAAATGTAGATAAAATACCAAAGTCAAAATGTAGTTGTTCCTAGTCAAAACCTATGTTTRGATATCTATAATTTAATTTCAGTCAGACAAAGGTGATTTTATGTTAAAATGGCCTGCCAGAAAAAGCCCACCTGCAGATGATGGGGTGAGGTCTGCAGCTGTCCTCCATCTCATCATTCTGGTCGCTCATCAGTAACCAGGCTACGAGGGTCTCCTTCAGATTAGGTGAGACACTCCCCTCAGTGGTTCCCACCTGCTCCCAACCTGAGCCTGACGACAGCCGCTTTGGGACTGGACACTTCAGCATCGCCTGGGCTAGACAGAGAGCAGCGCTCCTGCAAAAAAATAAAATACAATAAAATAAAAAGATATTAAAGATGGAGGGTCAACTTTTTAAAATTTTATTCATAACTAACTAGAACTCACTGAGAGGGTTTGCATGTAGATGCACAGAAGAGCTTCCAGAACTCTCTGTCCACATCGATCAGTCCACCGTGAACAATGGAGGCCAGCAGGTCCAGGCTGAGGGACTCGGTCTGCGGAGAGCTGACCCGTCGCACTGCAAGGGCCCACGTCCGGACCCAGAGGCGGCCCAGCTCGGCCCCGTGGTCCTGCGTTGTCTGCGGGCAGCGGGCCTGGCAGCGGGCCACCTCCTTGAGGCAGCGCAGCACGTACAGCCCCCTCTCTCCTCTGCGCTGCTCTGCAAGCAGCTGATGCAGCACCGACAGCAGCGAGACCAGCTCCCGACCAGGAACCATGGACGGGTACTTGGAGACGAGCACTGTGCTGATCTGCAGCCTAGAAGAAGACAACAGAAGACAGGGAGACAATAAATACAAACTCAATTAAAACTAAATAAATAAATTGGTGCCCTAGGCAGGATTTCAGGTGGTGCCCTATTGTGCAGTTTTCTAAATCTAACTGACAATTTACAAATATTCACATCCGCAATTAAATAATTTTGACTTTAGGGTTATGTTTCATCTGTAGAAACCAGGCTTTCCAATTAAAATATGTATGTGCATGTGAGTATAAATAAACCATATATTTAGTAATATAGCATGGATTGCGACAAAATGTAGTTTGTCTTGGGTGAATTTCCTTTTCCCGTTGGTGTGGTCTGATATTTGTAGATTGACTCCACACTTACTAAAATAGGATCAAATTTAATTTAATTGTAATTTTTGGCCATGTGCACACCTCCACCCTACGGAMGCAGTGTAAATGCTGTCTTTGATTATAATGGGTGTGTTTTTACTGTGAAGGTTGAAGCGGAGCAGTGCGGACGCGGTGTAAAATCAACTATAMTCTGATWAAAAGATTCTAAATTTTCTTTTCATCCCCAATTTACTCTTTGCATTTGTCCAGACTACCTATGCCACGGGCCGGGCCTGCATTTTGTTCAAAATGGACCATAGTACACATATCAAATATTTACTACACAGACAAAGAAAAACCTTTGTAACTTTAAAGTTTGATGGGACAGGGACAGATTTGCTTTGTTTTTATTTACATTCTACACAAAGCCCAGACGTATCAAATTTTTATGTCCGGTTTGAACTTTTGCATGACGTRTTTCACACAGATTATCATACCACGGTATGACGTCAAAGTCACTTTGCTGCGGCTGCAGGTGGTCTCGAAGTACGTCCCATCCCATTTCRACGCGCCGCCTCTTACTGGCTGCTCCCTGAGTGGGACTGCCCATCTGCGTGGCCCTGAGGGAGGCCTGGGACACCTCCAGCGTGTGGCTGAACAGCTACAGGCAGAGCACACATATTCACAAAAACATAGGACATTTRTTCTGAGGGAAGTTAGAACTGGCTCCATGACTGCAGCCTGGAGCTGAAGTGTGATCTGTTTGTGCACAGAYGAAGCTGACGGGTGGAGCTGGAGCTGCCTAACCTGGTGACAGATGTCAGCCGTGAGCTCAATCAGATTGTCTYTGACAGCTTTGTGTCTGGTTCCTGTGACGTACTTCCCCCTGCTGCCTATGTGACTGATCTCTTGGACCAGAGCATCGTACAGGTTATACAGCAGACTCCGCCACCTGCTCCAGTCCTCAGCGTAAGCACCTGAAATAAATCCATATATTTGTACTCTGTCACCTTTTTAAAAAATAAACTGATTCCGATGCAGCGTTTCTGAAAACCTTCAGCGTTAACGAACAAATCCTGAACTCAACCTGCGTCTTGCGTCTTTGCTCCTTTGGGGTGATGAACACAGAGCTGCAGGCTGAAGAACTCCACAAGCTCCTCTTTAAGAGGTGGGCTCTGCCTCATATCCGCCCACATGCACAGCAAGGATGGCAGAAGCTCCTCCCCCAGGCGACAGAGCCTTGTCCGACAATTCATGGCGGCGGATCTCGAGAAGATGTTGAGCGCGGAGATGAGGGGTTCCAGAACAGTCAAAAGCTTCTCCTGCCTGGTAGAAGAAAACAAAAAGGTACAACTGGGTCCATCTCGCTGCCACGGCAGGTTCCAGTACATTAAAGCCAGAGGAGTTTTCAGGCGGAGGGAGTTCTCACCTGGCACTGAGCAGAGCTTTGGAGAAGAAGCTGAACAAAGCGTCGCTGAAGCCGTCMGTCTGCACGCAGCAGCCCTTCACCACGGCATGGAGGACTCTGCTCAGCAAAACACGGTTGATGGGTCTGGATGAAGAGCTGAACAAGCAGCAGTACAAGTCCAGAAGACCTTTGGATCAAAGAGGAACCAGACATTCACCCACTTTTATCACTTAGTACAAAACAATTAATGAAACTGAAGCGATGAACCTGTCTCCATTTTTCTCCATTTTAGACAGGGTACCCACAACTTGGTCAACATCAAATTCAAGGACCYTTCAAGGACTTTCCAGTACCAATTTCCTCAAATTCCCAAACAGCATAKAAGTTGTKGAGTCAGAATCAATGAAATAAAGTGGATTAAACRTTTACCCTACAWTTATATCTACAATACATGGACAYGTAATTATGTCCTGGGAGGTTCAGCAGCTCAGTTTGGGAGAAGGAGAYGCTCAGTGAGGACAGRARGAGCWGTGGWGCTTCACCTGGGCTCAGAAAGAAAGACCCRCCCTACTCTGCTCTGATTGGCTAAAACTATGAMWATGGCTCACGTTATTTGTTGAAAACCATGTCAGTTTACCGTAATCCTGAGTTATCCACCACAACAACTCTAAGTTTTTATTTTTATTTTTTTACAGATGATAAAAATCAGTTGTGTGAATAGAGAACTTCAATCCCTAAAAACATTCAAGGACTTTCAAGGACAAGTGTAATTTTTGCTGTTTTCACAAACAGAGATGTGATGATCGTGAACGATCCAAATCTTTTGAACAGCTCTTTACAACCAACGATAGAAGCCAAATCGCGGGCAGTAACAAGCCTTTTGTAGTTTTATTTCTTTTATTCCTCATATAATCTTTATTTTTTCATCCTTAAATTGCTCCCGCTTTGCTTTTTCACGGAAAACAGGCAGAGTTGTGGAGTACAGAAGCTCACGGAAAGGGGGAGGGGGGTTTCCTCTTGACAAACACATGGTTCCGCCCACGTGATGAGATTACGTCATTACGTACGGCTACGTGATGACGTATTTTCCTACGTGATGACGTAATACGTTCAAAATCGAACGGCTCTATGAAACAAAYGGCTCCCCGAGATCCGGATCCCTTCAAGCAGCCATTTATCCCATTTCTATTCACAAACTTTCCAGGGCCTTGAAATCATTTTTTTAAATTCGCAAACTTTCAAGGATTTCAAGGACCCGTGGAAACCCTGTTAAGAGTAATAGGATCACGTCTCTAAACTCAAAGCCAACCCGTTTGGTTTTCAGCATGTTAACCCTACCTAAGCCTGTAGTCTCCTCACTGATCCTGCTTCATAGTCCAGCCAACCAGAATAATAATTTCATTTAGACCCACTGACCGTGCCACTCCTGTGAAGGGATGTCACACCAGTATTTGCGGACAGAGAGGACATCCTTTAGAAGGAGGCTGCTGTAATGCTCCCCGTAGGCTGCGCAGCAGTACGGGCTCTGCAGCACCTCCATCACGTGTTTCAGCAGCTCGCTGCATTTTAGCCGAGGCCCACCTGCAGGGAGAAAAAGCGACGCTGTGACTACATCCAAAGTGTTGGCTTCATGCCGTTTTCTACAGCGGCTGACCGAGGCAGAACGTGGGTCTGCTAACGAGCGCGCCCTTACGTTCGTTTGCATAGCGGATGAAGTGTTTGACCAAGCTGCACACTTCGGCCATCTTCTTCTGCCGCGTGGCCGCGGTGACATTGGATTTACTCGACTGCAAGATCTCGGTCTCCTTCTGGACGTAACGCTGCAAGAACCTGATATGGGGAACCAAATAACAGGATTACACAAAATACAAAAAAAAAAGCTGAGCCTTTCTCGTTGTGATGGGAAAAAAATTAAGTGAAACTTTGTAGATACACTGAAATAAGGAATAAAAATTACTTAGTGTGYCAAAACTTCTGCAAAAACAATTACAGGTAGGTTACCTGAAGACAGCATCCCATGTGAGTTGCTTGGAGATTTTAGCTTTGGTCCCTGAGGTTCGATCCAATTCCTGTAKGACCTCTTTGGATCGAATGAGCCGCCTGAAGCGTTCAGCTTCTTTCTGTTGACACAGAATGAGGGAATATTAAAGGAGAGTTATTTGCCAACTTGGCAGAATGAGCATTATTTCCACATTTGCTTACCTTCCTCTCTGTAGCCTTGTCATTCTCCAGGCCTCGGCAGCAGACAAGGAGATCGTGAAGAGGCAGACTCATTGTGCTTCTCACCTGCAGGAACAGGATTTAACACTAAATCCACACTGATAAACTCTTTGTAAAAATGCATAGAGGCCCTGAACTGAGCACTGCCTCCGCTCAGTGGATCAGACCACACCTTTGTCATGTAAAGCAGCAAAAAAAAATAAATAAATAAAAACTATGAGGGAGAAGTCTCTTTGTGTATCAATAGAAACAGATTGTGTGTGCTCTGCAAACAGCACAGGGATGATAATGTATATTAATTTGTGCTACAACTACTGAACATCTGTGAGGAGTACTGACATCCTCMATCTGGAATAAAGTAAAATTTCAAAAGATTAAATCAAAAAGGTTACAGCATGATGAAAAGTAGGCACATTCTGAGAACAGAGACTCTGCACAAAACTCTAGTTTCTATTAGAAGGACCACAGGAGCAACGGAGGGAGGATACAGGACAGGTAAGCAGCAGGAGGAGGCAGGACCCCCAGCCCTCTGAAGCACCAAATTGGCCCCTTCACCTCTTGACCTGATAAAAAAGAAGTTGCCTGAACAATGCAAACGTGATGTGATGACACAATCAATAAACCAAATTAGTGMATGAAATTTCCAATCAAGATTTGACTCCTAAAAGCAACAAAGAAGAAAATGTTGCACTTTTGAAGCAAAGAATGAAACATTTACATTCCTGATCAATATATTTATTGACCTACCAACTATCTTACATTCCTGATCAATATATTTATTGACCTACCAACTATCTTACTTTCTTCTCGAGGGTAATAATAACAAATGATACTGTTTATCTATTGGCGTTTCCACTTTCGTTATCTATAAAAAGGAAATCACTGACTGTGCAGCAGTCAGGCCATCATGCACACGAACAACTTTAGCAGCATGACTTTCAAAAGTAGCTTCAAACTTGATTCGTTCATTCATCCACACTCTGTCWGTCTACTGACCTCAGACTGGACTAACTGTAGTCCTGAAGCTGTGAAGGTGTAGATGTTAGCTAAAATGACACGATCCTGATCATAACAACTTTCCCATCGCGACACTCGTGCACTAAAACAGCCACGGTCACGCWCACGCAAGGCACGCAAAACATTCCCGCCGCAGGGTCAGCGCTGAAACGGAAACACTACCCTTAGCCTTGACGACWGTGCAATGAGTCCTTTCACTCTTCTCTCAACGTCAAAATAAAATTTGTGTTTATTTTAAGGATAATTAAGTGCTTTTTTAGCTAAAGTATATTATTAACGTCTTATGATTTTAAGGAATGTATGTTTTGAATCAMTTTGTTGAATTTATTGGTATTAAACCTCCCGGGTTGGACTACAATGACCATAAGTCAAAGCGRCAGACAAGCCCAGTACTTCCGGGTTATAGGTACTCAGTTCCCCGCCTTTACAAAAATCTGTCTCAGGACGTCGTCTTCACAATAATAGCCAACTTTTGTTCCCAAAAAAAATTCCTAATATTTTTTGAACATGTAGCTAATATTTATCAATTTAGTTGATTTTATTAACCAGAAAGGGCATCATGTTGCTCCCTTCCGACATAGCTCGGCTTGTTTTGGGTAAGTTTGGACGAAGCGAAGCGCTGCTGCTGGCTTCACTCAGCACTAAYAATGAAGCGAAAGCAGAGAGAATTAAAACTCCTATTAACCACTTTACTGTTGTCAACGGGATTGAATGAAAACCTGCTAGTGTCTTTTCTCAGGGTACCTGCAGGAAGAGGGACTGTTTGCCACAAGCCAAGCTTTCATCCACGAGAGCCCAAACCTGAAGGAGTACGCCGARTACAGCACAGGAGATGGGACTGTTCCTGCCTGTGTTTTTGTGAGTGTGATTTTTWTTTAAATGCTTTATTTTACTCTAACTGTTGACTGAATGTCGTGCACTTGAATACTAATCGACTTATTGTCCTCTTCACATCTGTGCAGTCTATTTTTGGGAAAAACTTGACAACGATTTTAAACGAGTATGTGGCTGTCAAAGCCAAAGGTAAAAGTGTCTCATTGTGTCATATTTTGTTACTGCAGGGTTGTTGTCATTATTAGTAATAACTCTTTTGTTTGCTTATTTTAAAACAGAGTRTGGTCATGAAGTCCCTCTTGTGATGACTTCGCTGTGGAAAAAACTTGATTTTACTCTCAACCAAATCAAGTAAAGAACTTTGACTTTAAGCAAACAAATCACTTAATAATTTGTGTTAAACTTGACCTTAATCTTCATCTGTGGTAATCTGTGACGTTTATGTTGTTTACTTCTCAGATCATTGCAGAACGCTCCTTCTATTTCCTCAAGTCAGCGGAGTAAGTTTTCACATTTAATTCTTTTATTAATACCTTGTCAGGTTTTTAGTAGATGCAGTGTATTTGTTCCATTGTAGGATAAAACATAAATAGCAGTTTTGTTTAAATGTTAAATACTAAGTAAACCCAAGCCATAACAATGAACACCCTGTATATCAGTGCTTTTTGTTAGTTCAAAGTTTGTGGATCTTATACTCTGTCTGTTGCAGCACGTTCGCGGATGGGGGTTGCAAATATGGCGAGGCAGCGGGTCYTGGCCGTGGCGTCTGCAGGCGGAGTCGTCTGCTCTTCCGTTTCTGAAACGAGCTCCATCATCAGCCCCTCGCTCACCTCCCACAGCATGCTCAGCCACTCCACGCCCGTGAGCTGCACTGGCACRCAGGCCAGAACCACCCCTGCTGGTGGTGCCCAGCAGCTCGTCCAGGATGGCAGCCGATTACTAAAYACGCCCAGTCCGTATCACAGAACCCACATTCCTTGTTTTGATTTTGATTTGACGGTTCTGTCCGTTCTGAAACTGAAGTTTCCTTCATTYGCAATCACACCTTTGAATGATTCAGCAGATTTATTTATTTTTGCATGCAAAGATGAGCTTTCAAACATCAGTAGTTCCTGAATAATAGGCAACTTGATTTTTTTGTTTGTTTCTTTGTTTGTTCCAGGGGATTCTTCTATACAAGCCATTGTTTCAGAGCACCGGCTGAATTCAGGCCCAGCTTCTCCTGCTCGACGGAAATGGTAAGGATTTTTGTTATAATACTGTTGTTGCTGGAACACAACAGGGAGACATGGTTGTATTATTAACTTGTAATAGTTAAACATTAATGAAAGTGAATCACTGTTACATTATATATTTAATATTAACAGCTGGATGACGTGTTTATTGGCACGCCAAATAAAGAGTCTGTTTTGCATCGATAAGTTGACACTAATCATCTTTATTGTATGAAGTTTTGTTGTCTCAACTTGTTTTTCCATTTTTTTGGACAATTAGTTACTCTGTAATCTTTCTGCTGCCTTCAGGGATACCCCCAGGAAGAGAAGTGGTCTCGGCGGGTCTAGTGGTCCCAGCAGATCCACCACAGCTGTCGGTAGCCTCAATGCAGAAGCCGAACCTGAAGAGGTTGTCGATGAGAACTTTCCTGTGAGCCTGCTGTGCTGTTTTATTCACAGCTAAATGATTTTTAACTGTAAAGTAGCACTTTGTACTGATTGTAAAAGAGGAAAAATTCAAACTGAGACATTAATTTAATATTTGCAATTTGCAAAAACTCTGTGCACTAAAGAAAATAGTGCACAGAGTCAGTAAGACCAGAGTAGTGGTGATCCTGGAAAACATGCTGTCCAAGGGGAATATAACTTTTTGTGACTGTTTCAAGATGTTTTTGACATTTTGTACATTTTCTGACTTCAACCTTCTCGATCTTCACAGCAACTTGTGATCCAAAATGCACGGGACAAGATTTTGGGAGACAGACTGTTACAAGAGAAACTTGCAGAAAACATCAACAAAATCCTCGCCAGGTAAGTTCAAACTCCAACATGTCAACCAGCTGATGACTGATTAAAAACAAAACAGCTCTTGACATTAAATGACTGTTCTGTGTTTTGTCTCTGACATCAGTGAGCCAACACCTCMAACGTCAAAGGTCACAGTGGAGGCAGAGCAGTCCATAGATGAGATTCTTGGATTACAGGTGCTGAAAAGAACGATAATAATATATTTTTATTCTTTGTTTCCTAAAAAGTTATATTTTGTTCTGTATGATCACTGATGTTTTATCAGGGGGAAATCCACATGAGCGACGATGCCATCCATGACATTTTGGAGCAAACAGAGTCAGATCCAGCTTTTCAGGCCCTCTTTGACCTCTTTGATTGCAGTAAATATGAACTACTTTGCTTTGCTTTGGATTTTCACTGTGTTTATCAATCCAGTTAAATTTTAGGAATTCTGCATTTTCAGATAAAACTAAATCTGCTGACGGAGAAGCTATAGATGGAGACACAAGCAGCAGTCCAGAAGTGAATGAGACGACTGGATCTTTGTGTGCAGTCCAGCCCCTTCAAAGTAACAATCCAGGTATTATAATGTTGACATACGTGTTATCGCTGACATCCAACACAGATTAGGACACGTACTTGGACTAAGGTGTAAATCAGGGTTATTATAGTTAAGTAAAGCTAACTAAATAATGAAAATAGAAATTGAAAACAAACATTTTAGTTAACTAAAATAAATAAAAACTGTAATAAAATAAAAAACGATAACTAACTAAAACTGTATAATCTTTTTACATAACTAACTAAAACTAACTGAAATATGAATATCCTTAATTTTAGTGTTTGTCAATTTATTTTGAGCCATGTGGATCTTTTTTTTTTTTTTTATTGAGTAGTTTCACATTAGCTGTGGGCAGTTTACGGCACCTCATGGTCCGTAACAAGACTTGTTTACAGTCTGCTGCTCAGCATCGTCTACCAAATGACGACAACAAAAGTTGGGAGAAAGCAGCAACGTCCACTTTGGGATTTCTTTGAATATGACTGCGAGAAAAATCAAAACAAGTGTCTTGTAGTGGAAACAAGTGATAAAACAGGTGGAATACTTCTCAAGACTTCATGAATYAARCTCACACAAGATGGCTAACTATTACTATCTTGATACGCTAGCTTCTCAATAGCTCCTGTGAAAAACAATCAACAGGTAGCACCGGGCTGGAGACAACTATTGTCATTGTCCTCAAATAATCTCCCAAGTCCTTAGTTGGCAAAATTGAGTTAGGCAATTGTTTTAGGAAGGTGTCGCTATATTGGTTGGTTAACTCACAGGAACATCACAAGCTTGAGGAGGAATTGGCAAATAAACTATAAAAAACATACTAGAACTAATAAAAACTAAATTAAATTAAAACTAAGCATTAAAAATGCAATAATAACTAATAAAATCTAGCAAATCCACTGTAAAAACATATTAAAACTAACTGAATTAAAAGAAAAAAGTCACAACGAAATAAAACTAACTAATGAAAAATCCTAAAACTATTTTAACCTTGGTGTAAATAGGAGAAAAACTTTTCATGTCAAAAAATGTGAGGGAAATACTAATTAACAGCTGACTAGAGTAGAAGCTCAAATGTTTAAAAAAATAAACAAACAGTCATAGTGTTGTAATTAAAATTGATAAGGCTGGTATTTTTTCTTTTTTTTAGCATCATGTTATTGCAGATGTTTGATTCTGTAGAGAGCAGACTTGTCTAAAGAAGAGAAGAATAACTGATACTTAAACCTGCTTTGTTTTTGTTTTGTTTCTCAGATCCTCCACAACAAGATCCAAATGTTTCTGAAGCGCTGCCAGCCACGCTGAAGATGAGACCTGGACCAGAGCGCAAGACCAGGAAGTCTGCTGTGCCAACTTTAATAAAGAAAACGGTTCTGGACTCCAGGGGCAGGGCGTCTAGAATTGAAAACAGCGCAGCCAGACTTTTGGTGAGTCACGGGGAGCCCAGAGGTTCCTTGTCCAGTTCATTGGACTCCAACAGAAAAGAAGAACCCTCACTTTTAAAYAATAATGCAAGTGCAACACACATGGATATTGATGAGCCACTTCATACACCTCCCCCTCCGTTAGACAGTTTGGWCACTCAGGAGCCCACCAGAACCTCCACCAATAAATCAGCCCCTGATCCTTTTGGGAAAGGTTCTGCTCCATTTGCTGAAGAGACTTTGACCCTGAATGTAGAAAAAATCCAARCCCAAGGCTCGAATGAGCACCCTGCCACACCTTCATCCTCCATCAGCGATCAGCCTCAGGTGCTGTCTTCAGTGGACGTTCAGGTTAACAACAATCCAGTGTTGACTGCTAACATACCTCAAACGTCAGCTTCAACCACTGATGAAARCATTTTCTCAGGACCATCTGTCTCTGCAGCTGTTGCGCTCGCAGCTGCCTCGTCGTCATCAGCTGCCGCTCACGTACCGGGCTGCTCGCCTACGTCTGCCTCCACCTCCGTAACTCTTACAGCTACAGCTGCTTCATCCACGCCTTCCCCACCTGCATTGTTCTCCTCCTGCGCTCCTTTTTCAGCAACACCCGACCCTTCGTCCACCGGCCCCTGCGCCCCGAGCAGACCTGCAGACCCCAGCAACATAGTGTCTTTAAAGATCATCGTAAGCGACACCCAGGATGAGGGTTCTTCCGGCRATGCAGCCTTGAATCAGGCCATTTCGAGCATTTCCGSCGAAAAGATGCCCACCATCTACATGTCTTCTCCAGCTAAGTCCCCCAGATGTCCTCCCACCCCAAAAGCCAATTTTGATGAGGCGGCACAGGCAGTGAGTGGCTTACAAAGCTCTGAGGTGTATGGTAGTCCACTTGGCTGTAGGGCCGCGGCTGTGTGCTCAACCTCATTAAGTGSGACAGGACAGACCCCACAAAGATACATAATTCAGGTCCCAGCAGACCCCACCAATCCTGGACTYCAAGGATCCGCCGCCAGCTATTTCTTTGTGACTCCAGCTGCAGATGTTCAAGCCACACAGATGTTACTTCCTGTTGGTGTCTCCAGTGGACAGCCTGGGGTGACCACACCCACTCACACCCAGAACAACTCCACAGGTAAGATGGAAACGACTGTAAGACAACAAGTAGCTTTAATTGGATGTGAATTCATTGTGATTGACAGAAATATGAGCTTTACAAACACTGGAAGAAAATGTTTGTCACATCTAKGAGCAGGCAACAAACAAGTCTAATACTAGAGTACTTTCACACCAACCAACAAAATAAATATTTAATTTGAGCAAATTTTAACCTGATGGATTGTAAATTTTCTATCCTTCATTGCAGCATAGKATTAATATACTGTATTTAAAAAGGTGTTGTGCAAAAGATTGAGCYACAACTTTGATTCAGGCTTTCTGATGATCCATCCGTAGGATTTTTTTTTTTTGTTGTTGTTTTTGAATGCTTTTTCATTACATTTCAGTTCAGTGCCTGCTCATTTTCAGAGGAATGTTGTTTTTAAGGTTGGTTATATCACTTAAATCTACAGTTGAGACATTTAATCACAAAAATAGCTCCTAAGCTCAAGAGATATACTTTCATCCTAAAGTACTCTGGAGTTTTGTGTCAGGTGGCTTTGTGTAGATTATTTTTTTATTTTGAATAATATCTTTAAATAGTTTGGGGTTTCTTAAGACCGGACACTTTTCTGTCAACCACTTGTTTTCTAAGAAGACACTGTGCTGTCCTGGTCAGATGCTCTGATGAGACAGTAAATAAGGGAAAAAGCAACCAAACCTCCACGAAGTCTGAAAACCTAGCATAAATACGGCTCCCAGGAAGCAAATATTTATCTGCAGGTGGAAAAAGCAATTTATATCTTCTGCACAGAACTGTTTACTAATAAAAATGGTTTTACTAGACTGAGCCCACAAGGCAACATTTTCCTGTCACAACAGCATGAAAAATGTTTTTAATAAGATKTCACCACAAAAGCTTCTTCATTTTTGTTTTTGATTAAACACTGATTATGATAGATTTTTTTTTTTACTTATTTAATTTTGGATTTAAACAAGCTGTTTTTTTACTAAAACTTGTTGCCAAGCTTATAACAGTTTAGGATTTTTCATTATAGTTTAGTTTTATTTCATTTTGACTTTTTTCTTTTAATTCAGTTAGTTTTAATTGGTTTGTACAGTGAATTTGCTAGTTTTTAATTAGTTATTATTGCATTTTTAATGCTTAGTTTTAGTTTAGTTTTTAATAGTTCTAGTACTGTATTAGGGTGTATTCAGACCTGATAATTTGCTCCGCTTTAAACGAACCAGAGTTCGTTTCCAGCGTTGGTCCGGACCTTTTCTGCAGGTGTGAATACACTCATGCGAACTCTGGTGCGGATCAAACAACCGGACCGAGACCTGCTTTTTGAGATGGTCTCGGTCCGCTTCCAAATGAACTGTGGTGCGGTTCACTTCAGTTCACTTCTGGTGTGAATACAGACCGGAGTCTAACTGAAYTAACTGCATTAAACATGCACCTTTTTGGACYTCACAGGCCACCATTGCTGAGCTAAATAAACTGAAATCATACCTGTTTTGTTGTCTCCTGTTAGCAGCTCTGCTGCCGGCATGTTGTGGGTCAGAACACGCAGCGCACCTCGTCTCCTTTTGGGTTGCGGGACAYRTTTACTGATGCCGCTCCAAAATTAGAATWTCATCRCRAAACCACCATTAAATTAGCTGCTTCTGACATTTTAAATGCTATTGCAGTTGTACTATCAGCAAAAGTGTGCGCATCAGAACCGCAGGACTTCCATGTTTTTTTCTGGGTCTRTGTGCCCCATCCTTTCTGTCTAGTGGGAGCCATGATCGTCACCCTCGTGGCTTTGTTTACAAGTTATAATTTGTTTGCTAAAAAGCACAACGTGAATGCAAACTGCACCAAACAAAAAATAAAAATACTGTAAAGTCCCCTTTAGGTCCGCACCAAACAAGTGGACCAAAGGACTTTCCTGGTGTGAATACACCCTTAGTTTTTTGTAGTTTGAATAAACATATTTGCCAATGCATTCTCAAGCTTGTGATGKTCCTGTGAGTTAACTAACCACAGCTATTTTGTCGCTAGTTAAAGCAGTCCATTATAGCGACACTTTCCTAAAACAATTGCCTAACTCAATTTTGCCAACAAAAAACTTGGGCGATTATTTTAGGACAATGACAATAGTTGTCTCCAGCCCAGTGCTACCTGTTGCTTGTTATTCACGGGAGCTATTAAGAGAAGCTAGTGTGTCAAGATAGTCATAGTTAGCCATCTTGTGTGAGTTTGATTCATGCAGTCTTGAGRWGTWTTCCACCTGTTTTATCACCTGTTTCCACTACAAGACATTTGCTTTTATTTTTCTCGCAGTCATATTCAAAGAAATCCCAAAGTGGACGTTGCTGCTTTCTCCTAACTTTTGTTGTCRTCATTTAGCMGRTGATGCTGAGCAGCAGACTGTAAACAAGTGTTGTTATGGCCCACAGCTAACGTGAAACTACTCAATTTGGAAAACAAAAAACAAAAACACACATGTCTCAAAATAAATTGACAAATATTACAGGAATTATCTTGAGTTTACAAAACAGATTTAGTAACTTACAACCCAAAATTTCTTTGCATTAAACCAGGATTTATTTTACACTATGTTGGAGAAATGTTCACAGATTTTAAAATGTGGTTAAACCCAAATCTTGTTTTCTATGTTTAAGTTAATTAATGTTTGTCTAATTATTATTTATAATCGTTAATCTTTTCYCGCAGGTTCAGCGCTCATCTTACCTTCACCTTTGAGTCCTGTGGTGCTTCCTATGTCTGTTCTGGAGCAGAATACAGTCGGGAAGGTCCCACTGATGCCCAACCAGGTAACGACTTTATTGTAAAGTGGTTATATTTCTTATTTTAAGATAAAATTACTCAATCTGTTGATGGTTGATCCACAGTMAGAGCTCACATTGTTTTATCCACAGCTTGATCACGTGTCAAACTCAGTATCACAACAACAGAAAGAAATGATCATACCCAAACCCACCACTGTAGCAACCAAACCTTCTCCAGSTTCAGGTAAGTTGCCTTCTTGCTAAAAATGACACATTTAATTACTTAATCCTGGCAAAAATAAATAAATGTTGAATTTTAATGCCTGAAACTGTCAATCTGAAATTCCAGGAGCTGATAAAAATGCAGCTTCTACGGTGGTTCAGCCTGAACACGGAGGCCAACAGGACCCAGCTAAAGGTCCCAGTCACAAGAGGATTTTATGTTTTGACTCTTTGTTGTCAGAAGTTCAGTCACAAACTGCTGCTCCAAGCGCATCTACGTCACAACCTGTGCAGCAGTCTGAACAAGATAAGAGGACAAAACCGAATATTTTGGGTGGCAACAAACCAAAGAGGAGGATAGAACCGGTCCGATGTTCGGCAGATCGCAGAGTTGGTTCACTGAACGAGCCTGCTCCTTTACAAACGCAGGAGAAAGATCTCGTTAAAAAAACCTCTCGCAAACAGGTTTACAACATTCATAACAGCGACAGGGTTTCACTGCCTGAATCTGAGAAAAACTCTGAATCTGCTGGCAGWTTGCGCAGATCTGAAACAAACGATGATGCTAAAGCCAAGGATGCCCAGAGCTCCAGGTCGTCTGAGTCTGCACTGAAATCAGGAAGTACAAAGGACAAAGGAGGAGAGGAGAAGAGCAGGAAAGAAGCTGCAGACAAGGCTCCTTTGAAATCCCGTGAGGGACGGATAGAGAAGAGGCCTCCCTCCCAGGAGGCCCCGAGTGTCACCGCTAACAAGGAGAATGAAATGAAGGAGCAGCAGCCAGTACCTTCCTCCTCAGCATCAGGAGACTTCAGTCCTCCAGCTGTCCCCCGGCTGCCGTCTCATACACCAACCAAGACTACAAAGCCTGCATCAAAAGCGAGCTCTCTGGCCAAACAGGCAGCTGAGATGCTGCAAGACATTCAAGGACTCCACTCTCCTGTTAAAAAGGCCGGAGCTGGCGGTTCAGACCTCACTCATGGGACGAGTGAAACCCGCGAGGCTCTTGCCGATTCTCCCAGAACTCTTTCTGGACAGAAAAGAGGTAAAGATGGCGAGGGGACCCCCAAGCACCCGACCCCGACCAACGTCCCGGACGTGCCCACCTGCAGCCCCGCCAGTGAAGCCGGCAGCGAGAACAGCATCAACATGGCCGCGCACACGCTGATGATTCTCTCGCGTGCCGCCATCGCCAGGACCGGCACCCCTCTGAAGGACAGCATGCGCCAGGAGGGGGCGGGAGAGAAGTCGCCCTCGAGCTCAAGAAACTCAAAGAGACGCAAACAGTCTTCTCCTTTGGACAGCCCTCCTGCGAAGAGGGAGTCGAAAAGATCCCCTGCTCAAAAGAAAGACCGGGTGAGTAACGCGTGTATGAAATGTTTAATGAAGGTGTTCTCAGGTTTAATGCCTGGTTCACACAGCAAGATAACTCTGCCGATTTTTGCAACGATTTTGCGCTTTTAACAATCTTAAGGATGCCTCAATTTTCGTGAGGATTTAAAGATAATCTTGTGAGATATTCTTGCCGCGTGTGGTGTGTTGGAAGGACTTTGGGACCACTTCGATCTCAAATTGGGGATAATCAAAATGTTGGATTGTCTTGGCCCGATATCCCAGCATGTGGTGTTCCCCGAGAACGTATGAGCTTGCAGCCTATTGAATGTGACATGTAGCCAATCAGAAAGAGAGGTGATGGAAATACATAGGACAAAATACAGAAGAAAAAACAACTGCCATGGTGCACCAAAAAGTCCGGTGGAAACATATTTCTTTATTTATTATTTTTTTTCTCTGTTAAAAATACTCCACAAACTATCACCATTGCTTCTTCTTCGTCAGCCATGTTTGTTTACTCTGAACTCACGTTTTGATCTCTGGAGATMTTGCAAGGTTTCCCGTCTGACATCTGAATGTTCTTGACTGAAATCTGTTGGTTTGTTGTCTTTGCCTTGTAGCTGTACACCACACACTGTAGGACCAAACCTGTTACATCTATGATATTTTATCATGTGCGGGGTCTCAGTCTTTCAAAATCAGTCGACAATTTTAAAATCTTGCCATGTGAACCAGGCATTGGATGTAAAGTTTCATGTTGATTTTTTTRTGGTAGTTGATGTGAATTTGTTTTATTGGCGACTACACAGCGCCCTCTGAAGGCCATCAGCAGGAACACAGATTTAGTAAATAATACATTCTGGTATTCTTATTAAACCAGTATATTTTTATTATTTTATATTATTTTCACTTTATTTTTCTCTCCTTCTATATTTGCATTTTGATGTAATTTTTTAAGCAATATTGAATGATTTTAGGAGCTGTCAATTCTGTCTAATGCAGCTACAACTTGAAAGTGAATTCCTGCTGCTTATTGTGTCAAACTCTGTTTTTATTTAGCAGGAAAAGAAGAAACTTGTTGATTGTTTTCCTCGTGATCTGGATGTGGATAAGTTCCTGTCTTCTCTTCACTACGACGAATGAAACTGAAGACAGAACTACCATTTAATGTCTCCTTGGGTCACTGTCCAGGAATAGAACAAGCCATCTGCTGTTAGTAATGATGCCTTATAAATTTAAAGCTGCAATGACTTCTTCAACTATTGTGGAACTTTATTGGACTGTTTTTCCACCTCAAATTCAGAATAAAATAATAGTTGATGCAGCAGTGGGGCAACTGAGGCACTTTTCATATTGTATTGTTTTAATGCTTTATTTTAATTATTCTGTTTTAAAGATTTTGTGTAACAGAATAGTTTTGAACACTTTGACATACCACTTTGTTTTTGGTCAATATTTGACTTTTCTTTAATTCAGTTAACACTGAGTGACAAATTAAGAATGTGTCCAGTAATTTTATTCATTTAGAATTAAAGTTATTCATATATTTTTGGGTTAGACACATTTCTTTGAAAAAAAATACATTTTTGTACTATATACTGTACAGTAATTTTGTTCACAGAATCAGATGGAGTGTTTCTCTTCACATTTCATTGAGTGCTGTAATAAAAATAATTTTTCCTGCATACAGMCATTATATGTCAGCTTTAAAGTTCCTGTGACATGCCTACCCTTTAAATACAAAAAGTCAAAGAAAACATCTTTATTCTTAAGAAAATAGATAAAATACACATGATTTTACACATTTTGTCTCATAACTGACCTATTTTTTATTTTATTTTATTTTTTTTGGATTTGGCTCAGTCAAAGTGAAACAGGAAGTGACATCAAAGGGAACTCATTAATAAGCTCTGCTCTTTGTTTATTAAAGCAACTTTATTTAAACTTTAACTCTTCTTCATCTCTGTATGATAGAAACTTAAAATCTAAAAAACCATCAGATTCTTCTCTACAGTCTGTTGTTAGCTGTTGTAACAACGCTCTGTTTACATGCAGACATGCTCCTTTCACATCACATCCTGTTTCTTCACATGCAAAAATCTCAACAACTACATCTGAGTGGCGTGAAATGTATTTTGCAATATTTTATCAGTTTTCTCTTTCCAAAAATATTTTCACGTTTATTACAAAAAAAAAATGCTGTCACAGGCACTTTAAACTACATTTGCTGTTGCTCAGATAGTTTATCTCACCAATATTTCTCAAATGTGAAGATATTTTAATATTTAAAAACTTTTTACCTGTCCCAGAATAATTTTAGTTATAATTAATTAATTATTTATTAATYATTACATTAATAATGGTGTTTATGTGCATGCATTGGTAGACAGTGACCATGAATAAGCAAGAACAGCTAAAGTTTACAAGTGCAACCAGCCTCTACTTAAATGCCTATGCACCACCATTTTTTATGAAATTGAGCAGGAATTRTTATTRTTGTTATTATTTTGRTGTAATTCATCTTTGAACCAAGTTTGCTGTGATGTAAGTGTTACTGTGGAGTAACTTTCTGTGCAATTAGCTTGCTCTAAGTTAAACCTGGAGTGTATTTTATTACCCAAATAGGATAAATATTTATTATTCATGCAGTTTTTTAAAACAATGTTTCAGTCTGAACATTTAAAACATTGTGCATTACATTTTATGGTTTAACTAGCATTAGAATAATGAGATAAAAAKAAATTAAATTGGTCATTTATCTACAATAATCGTTTTCAAAATAAATGACTGATTTGTGTCACTGCTGTTAATATAATGTACTCAGTTTATTTTTAACCTGCTATTTGTGAAACATATTTACCGGGTACTCATGACCCTCCGACAAGGCTTGTTTAAGTCCAGATTTATTTTGTTATCGTGGCTTCTTATACTTTAAAATTTTACTTTTGTGATCAAGTTTTTTTTAACTACATATCAACAGTGTTATCACAAAGGTCTACAAACAAAACTTTTACTTRATTTGTGTTTGTCACTGAAACAAATGTGAATTTGTGTGGTGGCCTTGGGTTCAACATGTTGAAAATATACCAGCATGWATCTAAATTTCACAACTAAGCATTTATTTTTAGTCCTAGACGAAATTTGGCAACTGAAACTGAAGGATTAATAATACCACAGTGTCTGTTTAAGTGAAATAACGGATGTAACAAGATTAATACTTATGGTAAAAATAAGATTTAAAGAGAGAGACACTACTTTGTGTATATATAATAAAATAATAGTACACCAGCGAAGTTGGCAAATCTGGCAACCTCCGATTGGACTGAAAACCGGAACTAACGCAAACACGCGTGTTATTGAATTTCACAATAAAGGTATTGGTCAAAGACAAAACCTGAAATGTTCCCACGCATTGCGGAAATCGTAGTTTTTTTAGTTTCATAATCTTTGTATGTATTAATTTACACAAAGCTTATAAGAAATTTATTTCCAAAAAATATAAGATTAAAATCTGGAATTGGTTGACCTTTATTGTGACACGGAGGAAATTCGTTTCCGTATGAACTGAACAGGAAAGAGGTACGTCGATGTCATTTAATTCCAACAAATATCAAGTTGTTTTTTTAATATACGGACTTTGTGTTTTTATTACTACAACGTCAGTACAGCAGCATATATTAATACACGTTTTTCTGCCAGCATTTTGTCCGGTAAATGATTCAAACAACGTTAATGTGATACAAAGGTACCCGGTGTCCCTAGCTAACCGGTTAGTTAGCATGTGGAGGTTATGAACACGCACTTGACTTCATGTGATATCTAGTTTCAAGAGAGACAGACAGGTTTTCACTCAGCAGTCTACGTTGTTTATGTAAGTCAGTGGTTGATATTTTCTCTAACTTTAGCTGTTTGTATTTTCCAGTCTGATATAAATGTCAGCTAGTACATAGTGTTTGGTTTCTGACAGGTTAAGCTCAACAGTCAGTAGGATTTTGCGGCTCAGCTGGGTCTCACGRCAGGGTCTGTTCCACTTCTTCGGACTGTAGGCGGCCAGATAACCCGGGGAGGACACTGAGGAAGGATAAAAACACTRACTTGTGCTTCTGTTTTGTGTCTGTGTCGACAGTCTGACATGGCAGCCAATGGATCGAGCTGTGAACAATCTCAGAGACGTCCAGGACCTAAAGACAAACTGAATGGCAAGTCCACAGGTTTGTTGTTACACATCARGTTTTAATAATTTAAATCACAGAAGGCGCCACGTGTTTTTGAAATAGTTGTGCAAACGCAGAGGGTGAAATATTAACCACAGCCTGATGGCATTCAGAAGTTATCAAGATATCAAAGCTTTACTTTCAGTTTTCACCTGTGCTGACAAGTGGAAACTGAAAATAACTTTAATCATAGCAAAAGCTATATACACTTGTTTGATAGCATGCTATTATGCATTTAGTTGTATCTATACCACAGGATGTAACAGTTAACGAACCCATTATGAGCACAAATGCTCAACATGCCACTTTTTGTCCTTCAGATTTATCAGTGAGAGAAAGGAGACAAAAAGACAAGGAAGAGCGTCTCTCTCTGGTTTTATGGAAGAGGCCCATCATCACTCTAAATTATTTCCTTCTGGAAACCATCATCAAGCTAAAGGAGTGGACATATGAGTAAGTTGTTGAACAGGTTCATGTTTTCAGTGTTTTGTTTGTTTAGGCTTTGAACTGCTGAGGATAGTTTGGCTCACTTACAGCAGCGACATTTTGTCCTTCATCATTTTTTTATCTCTGTAATCACYATGTTGGTAAACCATGTTCTCTTCATGAAAAAAAGTTTAAGTTTTCTCGTGAGCACAACCATACCCTGTAGACAAAACAAATAACATTTACATTTGTATGAGAAACTGCAGTGATTTAAACCAGTTTATAGTTGCTTGTTGGAGAATTTAAGTACTACTTAAGAGAGATGCAGCTTTTTAAAGTTTGTGTTAAGTTCAGCTGATCATTCTGCTTTCTTGCTCTCTCACTCAGGCTTTGGCATCGACGAGGAACAGTCTTCTTATTTTTGGTGTTGTGTTCCGTCTTCTCTATCACATACTCTGCCGAGGGAGGCCACCAGCAGGTAAGACCTGAGTCAGTATTTATCAGCAAGACAWATATTCAACAGCACTACCTCATCACTGACTGTGTAAAGGTCCTTGATAAGTCAGGTTTTATCACCGAGAACTTTGCAAACAGAAAACTTGTGTTGGGAGATAATGTGGTCTGCGCTGTTGTCAAATAACCCTTGATCTCACATTCAGCAGGCTGAAAGWCCAGTTTGCGTCTGCGCAGGAATCCGTCCGGGTTCAGTTAAAGCAGAACGACCCGGTGGACAATTAACTCCTCTAAACTCAGCACTGACGAGCTGAAAAGTTAACCAAAGACAACCTGTAGTATAATGAAACTTCAGGAAATTAGCTTTTAAATTACATCCTGCAAAACATCATTTAATTATAAACTAATGTTGAATTATTATATTATTATGGTTAGGCTAGCAAAATTTATTCATTTCATTTCTTTAAAAAAACAACAAAATTTATGTACAATAAAAAACAACTCACAAATAAAATGAAAGGCGACAGAAGAAAAAAACATCTTATAATATCTGCGCCTTTTTTATCAAAAAAAATAAATTTAAACAATAATGATCTACAAACAAAAACTAAACAAAAAACAACCTCAAATCCTTATTAAATATCATTTCGTATGAATACACATTAGATTGTTTCATATTTCTTTAACAAGATGACTTTTATCATTCTCTTAAACATAAATATTGTTCTGGTATTTTTGACCTCACTCTCCAGATTATTCCATAGTCCTATTCCTTGTGTCGAAGTATACCGTTCCCTCAAACTAGTTCGAAATCCATGTTTCACAAACATCTCCACCCCTTTCAGATTATAACAACTTTCTCTCTTAACAAAATTCAATTGGATGTTTAAAGGCAAAATACCTTTATGAGCCTTATACATAACCTGTAAAATATTACAATCAACCAACTCATAGAACTTTAATAATTTCAACTGATAAAATAATAYGTTTGATGRGTGACTGTAGTGTTTTCTAGCAATAATTTTTACAGCTCTTTTCTGTAAAACAAAAATAGGGTTTATWATTGTTTTGCGTGCTTTCCCCCAGACTTCAATGCAATAAATCAAGTGTGGAACAACCATTACATTATACAACATATACAGAGCTCTATCATTAAATAACTCCCTTACTTTATGCAGTACTCCAATAAATCTAGCAACTTTTGTTCTTAAATAATTTATATGAGGTCTCCATGTCAGTTTTTCATCAATGATGACACCCAGAAACTTCACCTCACAGATTCTATAGATCTCAACACCATCAACTTGAAATGGAACATCAATAATTCCCTTTCTGTTACCGAATATCATATGGTTAGTTTTATCTAAATTTAATGATCATTTATTAGTTTTAAACCAATTTTGTATTTTCACAAATTCTGCTTGCATAATTTCCAACATCTGTTTTATGTCATTACCCGAACAAAAAAATGTAGTGTCATCTGCAAATAAAACACATTTAAACAACCCTGACACATTAACCAAATCATTCACACATGAAATAAATAACTTTGGTCCAAGTACAGAACACTGAGGAACTCCACACATGAAGTTACAGAGTTCAGATTTTACTTCATTTATCTGTACAAACTGTTTCCTGTTTTTTAGATAACTAGATATCCACTGTAGTGCTGGTCCTCTAATGCCATATTTCTGTAGCTTTTCAAGAATAATGTTGTGATCAATGGTGTCGAATGCTTTATTTAAATCAACATAAATACTAGCACAGTATTGTTTTTGATCAACAGCAATTGTTATTTGTTCCATCAAATCCATAAGAGCCATTGAAGAAGAGTTATTTGCTCTGAACCCATATTGACTGCTACTTATAATATTCTGTTTATCGATAAATTGATCCAATCTAGCCACAAATAAATTTTCTAAAATCATTGAAAACTGTGTTAACAAAGATATTGGTCTATAGTTATTAAATGCGCATTTGTCACCATTCTTTTAGAGAGGAATTACTTTAGCTATTTTCATGTTGTCTGGAAATATTCCAGTTGAAAGTGATAAATTACATATAGAGCCATTTACTGTACCTATATAACACAATCAATTATGTCCTTCACCAACATCATATCCATATCCATCCAGTCTTTTGATCTTTTATCTGCAAGATGTTTTACAATACTCCATATTTCTCCCTCATCAGTTTCATCAAGAAAAATGCTGTTGGCACAACCCATGACTGTATGACTTACATTATTATGTACTTTTGGTATTTTTGATATAAGACTTGGGCCAACGTTTGCATAGTACTGATTAAATTCATTCACTATTTGATTTTGATCATATATGTCCTTGTCGTCTTTTACAAAATAATTTGAAATACCTGAATATGTTTTATGATTTTTCAAAACAGTATTCATTATTCTCCATGTTGTCTTCATATCACCATTACTTTTGTCTAATAAACCACTGTAATATTCCTTCTTATGTTTTCTTATAGTCCAAAGCAATTTGTTTTTATATTTCTTGTATTTATCCTCTGATTCTTTTGTTCTTAATTTTAAGAAACAGGAATACAAGTAATTCTTTTTTTTTTTACAAGCATTCCTTAACCTGTTCGTCATCCATGGCTTGTCAACATCATTTCTCTTAGCATAGTTTTTTGCAAACAATTTTTTTCATTATAGTTTTGGATTTTGGATATTAGTTTTGCCTCTCGTATTTCTTCACAAATGTAATAATTTACCTTTGTAAAATGATCATTGTTTTAAGTTTATTTATAGGTATTACCATTTTTTGTGTTGTGGTTTTTATAGGTTTGTTTCATTTAGTTTTTTGTTTGCTGTAAACTTTACTCTGCTGCAGGAAATGTGTTCTATAAATAAAGCCTGAATAATTCAAATTACCATTTCCCTATTTTCTTTTCTTTTTCCTGATATTTTCTGGTGTCTTTTCTTCTTTGTCTCTGCAGTATGTTCAGTACCTGGAGAGGAAGTTTCTATGGTGCGCCTACTGGGTAGGCCTTGGGATCCTGTCCTCAGTAGGACTTGGAACTGGTTTGCACACCTTCCTGCTTTATCTGGTAGGAAAACTTGAAATGATGTGAATCTAAGTTGGTTCAGAATAAAGTTGAGCTTTTTATTTACAGTCAGAATTATACACTTTTAAAATTACAAATAATTCAGGGTTTTACTTGTAAACACAAAATAGTATTATTAAATATGAATTGAATGGTTGCACTTGATAAAAAAAAAACTTTTTGTACTGTGGTGGGATTGAAAAGTGGGATAAAGTTACTTTAAAATCATCCAAACCTTTTAGACCTTAAACTGAAAATTATGGAGGAAAAAAACAGGAAATGAGTGTTCCAGCCTAGTACAAGTCTGACCTTAGAGCTGTGATGCCCTTCACAAAACGTTTGACTTAACTTGACTGTAAAATGTCATGTTTTAGGAAGTGTTTCTACCGTTTTTTTTTTTTTTTTTTTTTTTTGGTCACAATTACAATAAACTAACATCTGAAAGTCATTGTAGGCAAAGTAGATGGAAATATCTGACAGAGACTCAGTTCATAAAAGTTTTAATGTCACAGCTTCAGTTAAATTAAACCATCAGATCTTAACATACTTTATCTATTTTTTTTCCAAGAAAAACACTAATTTCTGAAATAAGTCTGTTGATTTGTAAAGGGAATTTTTGGCTTAAAGGACGATAACATTATTTACTTGGTTCTGTTTTGTATAAATACTGACATTATGTGTGTGAGTCTTTTGATTTTAGATCAAAGTTGTATAAACTTATATGATTTAAATGTACCTGCCTATTAGACATTAAACTTAGACTAATAATTTAATCCAATTTAGTTTTTTACCACTGTTTTCCAGAAGATGGCGTCATACTTCAGATCTGATTCACATTGAAACTGTGGTTGTCAGTTTCTCCGAGTTTGTCACAGAGTGACTGCACGACTGAGTCACTGAAATCTGTGTCATTTGTCTTCGGTTGTGGCTAAAAGGAGATTTCAGCTAAATGAAAGAGAGGAACAAAGTCTCCACTTTAAAGTGATGATGTGACTTTTGTTCTAAACCCGTTCACTTGTGGGTTTGTCGAGTCAGCGATTTCCACTGTAATAAAATAATGAGAACAGATATGGGCCTTCCTGTTTTTACAAACAGATGTGCACCCCCTTTTATTGCATTTGAGTTGTGCATTCACACACACTAAAGGGATTTCCCTGTCCCGGAGACCAGGTTTTCTTTTTGTACATTTTTTCATTGTTATAGTATATATCTGAAGTATTAAATGATATTGTAGTAGTGTTGTAGTATTGTGGTATTGTAGTATTAAAAGGTAGATGGAAAAGCCTATTTGACTCACAGCACACTAGAACCACGCTCACGTGGGTTTTTATGCATCCCCATTCACCAATACCAATTAAGTATTAAACAAAACTGAGCTTTATGTTAGTTTGTGAAAAATCTGTTTAAATTAATTTAATTTTCACAAATTCCACTTTTCAAATTTCTGGGTCACATTTTTATTTTTTATTGATTTTGGAAACTTTCAATAAAAACATACACTAGTATAAGATAATCCAGCATTTACACCTTTGAAAATGAGATATTAATTATTAAATGGCTTGTTAAGTTTTCATGTAAAACCAGAAGAATGAAGCAGTTTGGCATTAGACCCATCGTTGTGACAGTCTTTGGTTAAAGTTGGGTGCAGCTTTTGTACAGTAAATAAGGAGATAATTAGTATTTCGAAATATTTTGATATATTTGGCAAACAACATTTAGAAACTGCCTTAAAATTTTGCTCAGAGTATAAATTATTCATCACAGAAAAAGTTGTCTTGACAGTAAAATGCAGTGTTGCTGCCTCGTGAAGTCTTTTGTAAATGTTCTGCACACAAAGTTTGAACTGACTGAAAATTATAGACAATATTTAACTTTGGTTTGGTATTTACAAAACAGAAAATAAAAAAAGGAAAATGTCTCTTAAAGCAGCACGGTGGCTCAGTTGGTAGAGCTGTTGTCTCTCAGTAAGAAGGTTGACGGATCGAAACCCGACTGGGAAGCTTTCTGGGGTCTTTGTGTATGTGGGGGTTTTCTCCAGGTATTCCAATCCTACAGAGCAAAAACTTGACTGTTAGGCTAGGATGGATGGTCTCTTAAAGCTCTGACAGTGCTGAAATAAAAGTGCTTAACACACTTTTATAACATCAGTGTAAATTTGGAAAACACAGATGAAGACCCAATATTTGTAATATTCCACACTTCACACAAAAAGTCCTAATTGTAAGTAATGCAGCTCTGTTTATGTAGTGAAGTTAAACTAGTCCAATTTTTTTATTCAATAAAATTCAGTATATTTATATTGCGCCAATTCATAACTGTTGTCTTGGGACTGTATAAAAACATTCACATGCATTATAACATCTTAATCACCTACTTATGTTATTAGTTATCTTTCTTTAATAATTTTGTCTTGTCAGCAATAAAGAAGTCTAAATACTAAACTTCTAACAAATTATACCAGCCATGTTCTGTAATCTCTGAGCCCAGTGTGTAATTAGAAACCTTTWTTCGTTCATCAGTTTCATTTTGAGTGAACAGCAGTTTCCCTAAAATGTTTCTACGTGATAAACGTCTGCTGCTCATGRGAAACTGGTTCCTGTTTTTCTAAATTTAATTTGTCTTGACTGTGCAAAAACTTACCATTCGGTGACCCATGTCAACTGAAGAAGCAGTGAAAAAAAGCATCACCCTCAGAGTTGGTGTGGACTGACTTCAGTCCTGGAGAATCAGCAGAGGTCTACAGAGGATTAGATCATTGTGCTGCTGCTAGACGAGGGATTTACTCACCGCTCTGACCTCATGGCTCATAACCATGTTTTCAAGAAATGCTCTGCAAGTTTTAATATTGTGGTAAACTCTGCATGCCGAAGCATTTTTGCTTTAATTTGTACAGAGCTACGTTTAAAGATTGTTTCACTTGAATTAAAAAAAAAACTATAATTATAATAACAGTAAATATGTTATTGCTATTGATTAGGGTTGGGCAATACTGGCAAAAAAAAATCATGATTAATTGTGGTATTTTGCTGATAACGGTTAATTTGACGATTAATCCCCTGGAGTCCCTGGACACACTTATATCCTTGTCATATGACCAATTTAGTGGGAAAGACTTGCTCTAAATCTGTTCCAAATGGCGTCAAAATTACAGACTTCAGGCTGTACATCTAATTTCAAATTGTGTTGGTAGACAAATAAACTACAGAACTTTATTTGTCATATTTGAAGCGGAGTGGAGCACCGAGCAGACTGACTAGATATTTCTCCAGTCAGTCTGCCTGCTGGCATTAATCATATTAATTGTCAACTGCCAAAAAAAAAAAAAATAGATTGCACACGATACGATAATGCCCAACCCTACTGTTGATATTGAGTTTATTTTATCTTCTGCTCGATGCTCCACTGAGAAAATAAAATGCTGCACTGGAGAATCTGTCAAGAGGCAAGATTAAATGTTAACACTGGACCTAACTAGCATGTCAAATAATGTTTTAATCGCTTCTGATTGGTCAAGAACTTCAGAATCACACACGCTAACACATGTAGCATGTGTGGTTATTTCCTCAAACAAAGCCCGCTAACAGGTCGCCTCTGAGCTGTTCGTCCTGTAGTCACATTTTAATAATTAATAATAATCTGGTACGCCACACACACACACACAAAAAAATCTGAGCAAAAAAATCTATTGTAAAACCTGCAGTGTGATCTTATATTATTTTCCTTATTTCCTGATTCATCTCACCAGTTTATACAGTATGGTAATTTTAAAAAGGATTTCTCCATTTGTTTTAATGACTAAAGGGATTTGATGCACAGGAGTTTTACCTCAAATCATTTGGTGTGTGTGTGTGTGTGTGTGTGTGTGTGTGTGTGTGTGTGTGTGTG